GCTCGCGCCTTGCTCCTGACATGGCCTCGCAGGGGCCTGCTGGCCACAAGCAGCCTTATCTTTGGGTCAGGCACTGCCTGCAAGGGTTGATTGCCTCCGGCCAAAGAGCCCTGTGGTGCTTTGCTGGCAGCTCCAGCGTGCCAGGGGCCACGCTTGGGTGCAGAGGGGCCGAGCACGAGAGCTGCCCCAGCCCTGAGCAGGCTGGGCAAGGGGGGTGACCTGGTGGTTGGATGTGCCTGGATGTGTAGTGCTGCGTTGGGTCTCATCCCAAAGAGTTCTCCCCCAGCTGCGGGGCAGCCCTTCTTCTCCTCGCCATTTGAGACCGGCTGCCTTGAGCCAGTCACAAGTGACCCAAAAGGTTTTGCCGCCCGGCACTTCGCCGGCAGCGCTGGGGCAGGGAGCTGGCTGAAGAAGGGCCCTCCCAGCTCTGCTGCTCCACGGGGACCTGCTGCATGGTCCCTCGGCCCTCCTGCTTGCACCCTGTGCTGTCAGACCACTGCAGAAGCCCCCACAGTGGACAGGAGTGATGAGCAGGGCAGAGGGTTGAGGGAGGCTCGTTAGCGCCAGGATGCAGCCAGAAGCCAGCTGATGTTTGCTGTGTCTGGGCTCGTGTCGGTCTGGGGGGTGAGCAGGGCCGATGTCCCCAGAGCGAACGCAGGGATTGTGCTGCTGGCAGCCGTGCTTTTGGTGACTGTTCCCTTGGTTTGCAAAGTTTGTTGCTTGGTTTGATACCGCAGCAGACACGGTTTGAGATCTGACATTAGTAGAACGAGTTGCACATGAAGCCACTGAAAGCAGCTTGTGGGTATGGTCTGCAGTGCTGTGTGTGACAAAGTGTGCACAGGAAAGGTATCGGTGCTCCTCTAGTTTAAAAAAAAAAAAAAAAGAAAAAAGCTTTTCTGTAGCTGGTTAGTTTAATATTGAAGATAATTTTAAACTAAATAAACTGTTCTCAGGGGAAGTATTAGGAGTCTGAAAAGGATCAGATGTGGAAACAGATGCATTCCTAACTCGTAGGCTCTGGACTGAGGTACACCTGTATGTAAAGAACGCGCGTGCTCAGAGCTCCCTGCGGTCTCTGCCTGTGACAGCCCACCAGCAGCGGGGTCTGAGGTTCCCCGTCCCGCTCCTTGGCCCCGCAGCCGCTGGGGAGGGGAGGCGGGGAGCAGCCCCGCACCCTGGCTCCCCGCTGCCCTCCTGCACACTGCTGCTTTCTTGAGGCCGCGTCAGCATCCCCTGCTCGCTAACCACAACGGCCTTCAGTGCGTCTGTGGTTCGCCTGCCTCTCGCAGCTAACGTCAGGAGCGAGTTGCTTTGGTCCAGCACTGTTATTCCTGCCTTGCACGCTTCGAGGCTTGTGCTGAGCCCGCCAGCAGGACAGGTGTGCTGGTGGCTGCACGGTGCCGCTTGCCTCGGCAGGAGGCTTCCCCAGAGTCTGGGTTTAAATCCTTTAAGGTATGAAGGTGGCAGTGCCCCGGGAGGTCAGCAGTGCTGCTGCCCTTACTGCCTGGCTGTGCTCAGGGAAGGCATCGTTCCTCTCTCTGCTCCTCCGCAGAGCCCTGTTTGACTACGACCGGACCCGGGACAGTTGCTTGCCCAGCCAGGGGCTCAGCTTCTCCTACGGGGACATCCTGCACGTCATCAACGCCTCCGATGATGAGTGGTGGCAAGCTAGGCTTGTCACGCCCCACGGCGAGAGTGAGCAGATCGGGGTCATCCCCAGCAAGAAAAGGTGAGCGTCCATCAGCAGGAGCTGTCACACGTGGTGCCTCCTGGAGGTCGCCAGCCTCCGCGAGCCCTGCAGCCCTCAGGGGTCTGCACCGGGTGGGATCTCCTTGTGGTCCCAGCCCACCTGCCTGTCCGTGGCTGTACAGCATGAAGGGCAGCCCGGTTGCAAGCTGGGCTGTGTGCAGGTCTCCCTGGGGAGATGTTCTCCAAAGCTGGGTGAGACTCTGAGTGAGGAGAGGAGCACCCAGCCCCCTCTGTGGTCCCCGTGGGGATGGAGAGCTGGTGTTAGCCAATCTGGGGCTCCAAGCGAGAGCAGAGTCACAGCAGTGACTGTGGGCTGCTCCTTGTGTCTTCTCACAACTTGTGCAGCTCTGTGAGCCGGGTCCCGTAAGATGGGAAGTCACAGGCAGCAGAGGAACTGCCTGCAGCTGCCTTCAGGTCTGCAGAGTGAGTCCTATCTCTGTCCTCCATCCCTCCCCTCCTGGGAAGACTGGCTTGTCCCTGTCCTGCTCCTGCAGATGCTGGCCTTGGCCAGACCCTGGGCAGGCGGCTTCATTTCTGTCCCTCTCTGGGAAGGAGCTTCCCTTTGCCATCAGGACCACCACCCAAGGGTGCACGGAGAGCACATTCATGGGACTAGCAGCTCTTTCTCCCCTTTAACTTCTGATCAGGGTGGAAAAGAAGGAGAGAGCACGGTTGAAAACGGTGAAGTTCCACGCCAGAACTGGCATGATTGAGTCCAACAGGGTAAGTGCCAAGCTGGGGCTCAGGTGGGCACCCAGAGCTGGTAGCTAGCAGGGCAGATGAGTCCCAGCAGCCAGAGTTCCAGGTGGGGTGGCTGGAGCAGTCCCAAAGCAAAGAGCAGCGCAACTGGACCTACCCCAGGCCTGCATCTGCTCAGCACGAATCCTCTGTGACTGTCCAGGAGGTGAGCAGAGGAGCCCAGGGTGGTGCGGAAGCACTGGGGAAGGACCCATGGTTGGTATGGTGGGGGAGCAGAGCCTGTCCCACCACAGCCTGTGGCTGGGGGGGGGCTGCAGGCTGGGAGCTGACTGCAGGCAGCTCATGCAGGTGAAGGTAGTTGCCCTCACCCCTTGTGCAGAGTGCTTAGCGAGTGAGCAAGGAAGGGAGAACAGCCTGGCTACCCCTGCAGTGCTGCTGATTTGCCCCATCAGCTTCCCAGCATCCCTACCACATGTTTTTCTCCATGCTTAATTTTTTTCCTGCATTACAGTTTTCATGTAATCTCCATGATTTCATTTGGGGGTAACTGTCCTGACACAGCTCCTCATTGTCTCTTCATTTTAATTTTTCCCACATGCGTTAAACATCATTGTTTTTTCTGTCCTCCCTTCCATCTCCGTATTCTTCAGTCGATCAAAACGAAACGTAAAAAGAGTTTCCGCCTCTCTCGAAAGTTTCCATTTTACAAGAGCAAAGAGAACCTGGCCCAGGAGAGCGGCGGACAGGAACGTAAGTAGCAGCTGGCCAGAGAGGGCAAGCGTATGACCCTCAGGTCCCCTGCCTTGGGGGGAGAGATTCAGCACGTTTCTGTAGCCAGGGGTCCTGGCATCTGCCCGCCTTCGGGTCTGTGCTCCACAGTCGTGCCAGCAGCTAGGGAGAAACTGTGGCTTGAAGTGAAAGCAACGGCTGCGGGCTGGCGCTCTGTTTCTCTCTCTCATGTTCAATGTCTTCATCGTTTCATCCACCTTTACACCCGCCTGACCCCCTGCTCTGCCTCCCCCTGCTCTCCCACGTCTGCTGCGGGCTCTGCTCCCTCTCTCCAACTACCAAGGGCTGGTCCCCTCCAAGCAAGGGGCTGGTCACCTCCTGCAGATCTTCTCCTGTCCCTGTCAGGGCTGAGGGGCTGGGGAGGTCCCAGCTGCGCTCCCCATTTCCCCTAGAAGGGACTTGCAGCTACGCGTTCCTAGCTGAGAGCTCCTCCCGCGGTGTAAACCCTGTGGGCACAGGGGAGCCATGCCCTCGCTGGTGGAGGAGCTGCCCGCCCGTGACTGAGGCACGTCTTTGGTAGCTGGGGGGTTCCCAGCTCTCACCTGGCAGCACCTGAGGCTCCCAGTGAAGGCAGGACATTCAAAATCCCAACGTGGGCAGCACCGGAGCTGCTTGCCGAACCCAGCCCCTCCTCCTTCCAGAGGCTAAACTGCGTCCACTGCTTCGGCAAGCGTCCAGACAGAGAGCCCTGGTCCTCAGCACCTCGGGGGTAGAAAGTGGGCAAGGCAGAGCAGTGTCTCTGCCCCGGTGCCAGCGCAGCGAGCACATGCCCTCCACGCCGGTGGCTCTCCTGAGTGTGATGCAGAGGCAGGAGGTCGATGCTGGGCTGCTCTGGGGGCTGCCCGCATCCCTCTGCTGCCCGTGCCAGGCTGGCACTGGCTTCCAGTAAGCTTAGCAGCCAGAGCGAGCCTCTGGCCTGCGGTGAAGGTGAAGTCTGGGTGTCTCTCGTAGTGTCTGGACGTGGCTGGGCTCCAGTGACCTCCGTACTGGGTCTGGGGGCTCCCTGCGGCACTGCTCTCGGCCAGCCTTGCAGTGCGGTGATGTCCGGCACAGGGATGGGGCCAGCAGTGCTCCTCGCCAGCCCGTGTCCTAGACCCGCAGCTAGCTCCCTCCCTGTGCTCAGCCTCTGCCCTTCCCAGCTTGCAGTGAGGGGTCCTTCCCCTTTGTTTCCACAGCCCGTGCAAGCCCCGAGGTGCGGGCAGCTAACACCTGCAGGTGGGGAAAAATGTGCCCCCCTGCCTCGCGTTCAAGGACTGGCTGCGCTGTGCCCACCCCAAGAGCGGCTGGGCTGTCTGGGGGAGCGCAGAGCCACTGCGCCCTGCCAGAGCACCCTGCAAGGCAGTGCAGAGAAGCACCTCGTCCCCGCTTGTCAGCCACTTGGGGCCGCAGCCCCTGGGTGCCAGCGGATGCTGCCATGGCTGGCCCGCCCTCCCCCGACCCCGGGAGGCGTCCAGCTGCACAAGGCGAGACGTTGGCAGCGGGCTGATGGCATCAGCTCTGAAAACGTTTAAACCTCACTTGCAGCTGCAGCTCTGGGCTGTTCTGGACTCCTGTCACTAATGCTGGTCTGGCTCTGTCTCCCCCATCCCTCTGACTGCCCTCTCCCGTGCTCTCTTCTCTCCCCCTCTCCCCTTTTTCGCTGTCTGTGAAATCAGGACTTCCCTGGGTTAAGTGACGATTATTATGGAGCAAAGAACCTGAGTAAGTCAAATTTTGATGCGCATCGTTCACTTTCCGTCGCTGGCATGCCTGGTGGGACCTGGGGAATGGCCGGGCGCTGGCCGGGGCAGCTGCGCTTCTCTGGGTGCGGGGAAGGAGGAGCACTGCGGGTGCTGCTCCTGTGCCGGGGACCGCTGGGCTTCAGGAGGTGCCACTGCCGCAGGTGGGAGGGGATGGGGAAGTTTGCTTGGGGATGGTGGCTGTGCCCTACACGGGCCCAGCTGAGGGCTGCCCACTGCACCTGGAGCAAGCTGTACCTCCTCATCCTCCTCTTCCTCCTGCTCCTAGCTGGGCTGGCTGCTGGTTTTGCGCTTGGAGACTCGGAGCCGCTGCCAGTGTGGGTGGGAGGTGGCCGTGACCATGATGGGCCCCCTCTGAGTGGGGCAGGGGTCAGCGTTTTGAACTGTTGCCATCTTCCTCTGGAGCTCCACGTACCCAGAGCTGCAAAATGACGATGGCGGGAGCCTTGCGGCCCTCCCAGCTGGGCCTGAGTCCCCTGCTCAGCTCCGCACCCCCCGGACCGGATCAGAGCCCAACCAGGGGCAGGCAACGGCCAGCAGGCCCGTGTGAGTCCCAGCCCTGTCCCCAGAGGCAGGCTCCGCCATCCCTGTGCCGGCATGGAGCCATACCCTCCCCTGCCCCCCATGTGCATGCGGCACCCGTGCTCCCCACCAGCACCCTCCTCCCCACACACTCCACCTTCCCTCTCTTGGCCTGGTAAGCCCAGCGCCTGCACATGTCTGCCCACAGCTGCCAGGCAGCCTCCTCCTGGCATCCCTGTGTCCTCCTGGAGTAGCCAAGCGTCCCCCTGCACATCCCTGGTTTCCCAGCAAAGGGCAAGAGATGCCACCCTGCCCATGCGGCACAGGCACATCCCAGCGGGTACTGGGGCATGGGTTTTTCAGGAGGCCGTGCTGCCCTGCCCCGGGCCAGCAGTGCTGGGTGACAGCCGGGATGCCCCCGTGCCTTCCACCCGTGCTCCTGCTCAAGGTTGCTTTGCAGAGGGCGTGACATCAAACACCAGTGACAGCGAGAGCAGTTCCAGTAAGTGTGCGTCTCGCCTGCTCTCCCGCCCCTGTGCACGTGCGTGTGTATGTGTGCGCACATTTTGGTATATCCATCTTGTCTTGTCTGGTGGTGGTTCTGTTCGGAGCCTGGTCCTTCGTGCTGGTGACACCGAGGTGCTGCAGCCAGTCCTCCAAGGGGAGCAGGGACTGGGGGGCAGGAGCGAGCCTGCCTGCTTCCCTGCACTCTCCTGGCTGCAGGGCTCTGCTCCAAGGCTGGGTGGTGGGTTCCCAGTCCTTGGTGGTCCCATACCTTCGGTGCCTGCTGCGGGAGGCAATGGCCAGAGGCCGAGTTGGTAGCATAGGTGGCTCCTGGAGCCCAAGCTTGTACCAGAGCACAGGGGTCCAGCTGCAGCGAATGCTGCCTTTATCCCCGGAGGGTCCTCTCAATATCTGCAGCACATCTGCTGTCCACCCCGCAGGGAGGGCAGACGGTGTGTCCCAAGGGGCCCTGAGCACACAGCGGTGGGGAGGGAAACAGGAGGCTTGACCCAGAGCTGAGATGTGAATAATTAACATGGATTGAGGGCTGGTAACTGCATGCCCGTCACGCTCCGTGTCAGCTGGCAGCATGATGGGGGCAGGAGCCAGCTCCTTGCGGGTGCAGAGGGGCTGGAAAGCTGCTGCCTGCACTCACCTGCCTCTCCGTTGCTCTCTTGCAGAAGGACAAGAGGACACCATCCTGTCATACGAGCCGGTGACACGTCAAGAAAGTAAGTGCTGGTGCTGAGCTGCCCCGTGCCCGCTCCAGCATGGGCATCTGTGTCCCCGGCACGGCGGGGTGGCTGGTGCGACCTCCTCTGCCGTAGTAGCACAATGCCGGGTGAACACGAGTGGAGTTCCTTGTCTGTGTGTACAGCGAGGGAGCCAGGCGTGCACGCTGATGCACGGGGCTTTCCCTGGCCTTGATTGCCCCTGCTTAATCAACGGAAAAGACTTGTGACCTGGTCTTGGAAGACCAAGAGAGACATCCAGAGCTAAAACTGAGCTGGGCTTTAGTCCCTGACTGAGGACGGGATTATCTCTCCCTGCCTTGAGCCAGGTCCCTGCTGCAGAGCAAACCCCCCCAAGCCCTCAGTGTTTAACTCTGCTCGACGCTCAGTGACTGCGGACCCTTTCACAGGCTGAATCGTCCCAGCCTCGGTGGGCTCCCTTTGCCTGAAGCTGGAGCAGACTCGGGCTCCTGTCGCTCCCCCAGCTCCATGGCATCCTCACCCAGCTGTCCTGGTTTTCTGGCTCCTGCCCCAAGCAAGGAAGCAGCTTTGCTGATCCACGACCCCAGAGACCAGCACCGTCCCCAGGGCCACACGGATGGTTTGGGTCAGATGGGAGGGGGATGTTGCCCGTGACCAGGAGGAGATCAGATCACTTTCGGGTGCCCATGCGAGCAGGAGCACCCACAGGGTGCAGCAGGGAGAGGGCAGTTTGATGCCAAAAGTGGCTGTAGGTAGGGTCAGCTGCCCACAGCGCAGATGGGGCCTGAGGTTGTGGCTCTTGTTCGCAGTTCACTATGCGAGGCCGGTGATCATCCTGGGGCCGACAAAGGACCGGATTAACGATGACCTCATCTCTGAATTCCCACACAAGTTTGGTTCCTGCGTGCCCCGTAAGTCCCAGCTGGCGCTCGGTGCCCTCGCTGGAGGGAGAGCGGTGGCTCTGCCACTTGCAGGGTCTAGCCCACGGCGTGGGGCGGGAGCACGGGTGGGTTTCTCCCTCCCAGGTTTGGCATGCGTCGTGCTGGGTTCACTCACGATGCCCGCTCTCCTCCAGACACCACCAGGCCTCGGCGCGAGAACGAGGTGGACGGACAAGACTACCACTTCGTCGTATCCCGCGAACAGATGGAGAAAGACATCCAGGACAACAAGTTCATAGAGGCTGGGCAGTTCAATGACAATCTCTACGGGACCAGCATTCAGTCAGTGCGGGCAGTGGCGGAGAGGGTGAGTGTTGGGTGGTGTTCCTGGGACCGGGACACATCCAGCCTGAACCCAGATGTGTTCGGCAGTTCCCCTCCTCTCCCCATGTTGTTAATGAAGGGGTATAAACACATCAGGCAAGTGTGGCATGAGCCTGTCCTCCCTCCAGAGTCCTGCCAAGCCATGTGGCTGTTTTTTTCAGCCACATTGCTCCACCTCGATGTCGTACCTCTGTCATCCAGACTCTGCCCGTAAGCCCAGCGCTGGTGGCACCGGCCTCATGCTTGGGAGCTCGCGGGGCGAAGGTGCCCGGCTGCCCTCCTTGAGGCAGCGGCATTTCTTCCCAGGAGCACTGAAGTGTACCCATGGCTCGTAAATTGTTTCGCATGTTCAGAGAAAGATTCAGTCCCTTTGCATTGCTGCTGTCCTGCCCTAAGCAGGCGGGAACTTAAGGCCACTGGGAGCTGGCCTGTGTCGCAGTACTGGTGTTTCATCTCTGTGGCTCCTCTCTTTTGTAAGCGCATCTGTACGAGCAAGCTGTTCCCTGTACAGAGTGGACTGTATGGGTAGGGCTGATCCTGACTCTCTGCTTTCCAGGGGAAGCACTGCATCCTGGATGTGTCTGGCAATGCTATCAAGAGGTTGCAGCAAGCACAACTTTATCCCATTGCCATTTTCATCAAACCAAAATCCATTGAAGCTCTCATGTAAGTGCTACGCCGTGTTCTGTGCCTTTCCAGGGCAAGCAGCTCTGGCACGTCGGGGGTTTGTATGTCTGCTGCCTCTGCCTTTATAGAAAGCAGCGAAGGTTGCTGCTGGTGCTGAACTTGTCCCTCGTTAGGAGGAGCTGGGCCCGTTGCTGTCTCTGTGGTGTCGCTCCTCATCTAATTCCATGGTGCATCCAGGCTCCACGGATTGCTCCGGCTTAAAGCCCTTTGTTCGCCCCAAAGAGGATTATCCATGGGAAATCTAAAAATGTTCCCAAATACACCTGATGTCACCTGGGCCCCGAGTCCAGCCAGGAGATCTGCTGACAGCCTGTGGTGGTGGAGCACAGCCGGGTGGTGGCTGAGCCAGGACAGCCCAGGGAGGCAGAGAGAGTGGTTTTCTGAGTGCCTAAGGGGGATCTTCTGCTCATCCTGCTGCTCCTGGCCCTGGGGAGCGCAGGATGGAGAGGACACGAGAGCTGAGCTTGCAGCTCTCCCAAGCAGCAGGAGAGAATATTATTTGTGAGGGGATTCAGTAGCT